AGAGTTTGCTCTGAGATTAAAGTGACACGTGGACACACACCACACGCACACAACAAAACCTTGCTATTTTAAGAATGTACTTTATACAAAATAACCAGTTCATATGGAAATAAAATCTACAGACCGCCAAGGATCAAAAAGCTTTTTAAAAAGTTCTTTTAAAAAAATTATCCAACACACAATATCGAACTAACTATTGAGGTAAATGTCGCTCTCAGTAAAACAGGGAATCAGCAGACCACGACAAAATATACACAAATATAAAAATAAATAGCATTCCCCTTTCCAGTACTGGCCAGGAAAGTTCACACGACTTTGCAGCAGGAGCAAAGAATCCCTGACACGGTGCCGCAGGCTGTTGGAGACTGACCTGGGCCCCCAGGACCTGTGTGGAAGGCAGCAGTGAGGTACCCGAGCCCCAGAGGGAGGAAAAGCGTGTCACATACAGCACACTGAATGGGGTTCAGCATTTCAATAACTTACTCAATATCCACACCCCTGTTCCCACCCCACCCCTTTCAATACCACATGCAGGACAATCAGCTGGTTATCAGTTTTTTCTACAGGAGAGGTATGTCAGTGCCCTGGTGCAGAGTGAGAGAAACAGATAAGGTAAAAAAAGAAAAAAAAACCTCAAGCCAAGCCCAGAATACAACTCCCCCTAAATCTCTGTTTAGCAAAGGTCTACAGAGCAAAGAATGGCAGAATACAGAGTCTGGAGACAAAGCTTACATCATAACTTAATTTGAGAGACGTGATAAAGCAGCGTTCACCCAAGTTCAGTTTGCCCAAAGGGAAAGCAAGACTGTTCGAAGCCTGCATGGTTCAGAAAGAATCCAACCCACTAAAAAAGAAAAAAGGAGTTATGCCTAATTTCTTCTCAGGTAGCAAGCCTTAATCACATTCTTAGTTACTCAACAGTGATGTGGGTCCATGTAACCAAGCTTCCAAGTATCCTTGCTGAAGCTGTTGTCTAAAGAGATATCTGCAGGAACGTTGCATCCCAAAAGTCTATGGGACAGCAAAATAAATGGCTCATTAATATATAAACCCAGCTAATCCAACAAGGGTCCATGAGAATCTGGCCAGAGGGTGAACTAACAGACAGACACAAAGGTGCTAATAATATTAGAAAACGCTAAGCCTTTCACTTCCTTGAAAGCAGAGGATGTCTGAAAGCAAGTCAGCTTCCTGACACTATGTAACTGTCCTAGTCTTGGGGACTGCTGGGCTAACACATCATGTGAAATTTCAAATTAGGTCTGAAAAACAGTATATAATTAATAGAATTGATCTACAATTTAAACAACAGAAATAAAAAAGTTCAACCTAGTGGTATGGACTGAATGCTTGTTGCTAACATCCGTAGTGACTGCAACACTGGGATTTTGTGTTTTGGATGGTTACAAGAAGCACTTTCAAGTGCTGAGGGCTAGGCTAGAGTAAATGTGAAGTTAAAGCTCAGGTCTGACTAAAGGGCACAAACTATAGCACTTAAGGTTTCAATACACATAAAAGTAAAGATAAGCATGAAAAATTTTGTCTTGTGAGGGCTGTCTGACGTGGGCTCAGTGAAAAATAAAACAACCATTAATCAAAAGTTCACATGAACTACCAGAAGAACTACACCAACCTACTAAAGGAGAGATGGAGTGGCTTAATTTCATTTTAAGGGGTGGGTAAAAGTTAAATGAACAAGGATCTTGCATATTTTGTCCTTATTCTCCACGTGCATCCATCATAACACATTTTAGCCAACAGCTCCTGCGACTTTTTTTAATGAATAGATTCTGAGGAAAAAACGAAACAGAAACCTTCCCAAAGGCCCTACTTTTCTTAATCTTTTATTTCTCTTGGGTCTGGGGGCAAAAACAGTTTGAAACTGATTAGCAACTCTAATAAAGGTTAGTCATGAATGTTGAATCAAATAAGTATGATCGTATTTCTAATTATCCATGGATCTTAATTATCCCTTTCTGGGGACCATGGAGAGCCAGCACACTGACAAGCAACAGTGACCTACATCTTGAAATGTCCTTCTAGCCTGAGAGCAAACTTTTTTAGGAACACCCTTACACACTACTTCTAATTATAACATCACATAATCACCATTTCTCTAGTGGAGATGATGGCAAATCCATTTGCATCTGCTTTAAGACATAACATCTGCTTAGGACACTTGGAAAGAGAAGTGCTAGAGGAGAAAGAAAAGATGAGAAAAAAAGATAGATCCTGCCTGGGAAATGAATGGTTTTGTGGTTTCCAGCAGCTTGTGAACCTGTGTGTTCCTGCAACCTTGCAGCTCCTGACAGCTTGTAACAGGTCTGTCAAAGACCACTAAAAGCTTAGGAGACTCCAGATATAAGGAGATGAAGCCTGATACCTATAATGTCCAACCAAATTCCCACAGGGATGCAGTGAGGCTGACAATCTTGCTGTGGCTCTTGTTCACAGTGTTATAATTTAATACAGTAGTTCAATTTCCTATTGCTCTTCCTTAATATCTTCTCACCTCTATACACAGCAAGAAAGGAGATCAAGGATGAAAGAAATTACTGATTTCTTCCTATACTGTTCACAGCTTCTCTCCAACAAAAGGTAATTGGAGGAGGGAGCTGGAAGAGCAAGAAGAAAGGGTTATCTGAACAGTGTGTGTACCTGGCTACTCAAATACCATGAAGAAAATGGGTACAAATGAGCCCAACTATTGCTTAGAGTCCACACCTACCCATCTCCTATGTTTTTTTCAGCATAAAACATCCCTGACAGCTTTAGCACCATGGTTAGTTAGGGAGAAGTCACAGGCCTGTCACTCAAACCAGCTGTAGCATGAAGACAGGGGCTGTCAGTGCCAGAATGCTGTAGCCCTCAACTAGGCCTAACCAGTCCCAAACGAGCCATAAAGCCCAGTTGGTGTTATTCTCCTCCCTGCTTTTGTACAAACACAGAAACAGAAATAGTAAACTTTCAAGCATATTAGCTTATACTAGCACAAGGGCAGACTGAGCTCTTACCACAAATATTCTGATCTGTTCTTCCTGAAGGAGTAATGCTGATCTCTCTTAGACCAGATTATGGTAGTGATAGATTTCTAAGAATTAGGACAAAAAAGGGACCATGGCCTCATAACTCATTCCACTTTTCATTTTAAATGCTTACAAGTTTCTACTAGAGAAAAATTCATATTTTTGTGCACCGCACCTCAGAGGCCTCCCTGTTCCTTACGCAACTACTCTCAACTCTACCTGAGCCCTAAGCCACACCACTTCTCTTTAAGATTTCCATTATACTGGAGCTAGTGTCTTGGGTTCCATCTATATAACACAAATGTTCCACATTTTTCACATTTCCCACTGACAGCATACATTTAGCAACTTTAAACATGACAGTTCCACATTTTATCTCAAATTGGAAGGAAGGGTTCTACTGGCCCCTTCCATGGCTGAAATTGTTAAGAAACTAAGATTATTAGTTTATGGAAGCTTTTCAACTATCCCAACAGCATAATTAAAAATATGCCATCCTTTACAAAAAGCTGTGATTTCAGGACATATCCCTTAGTTTTCTTTTCTTAGTGGGATATTAATAAATTTAAAACATATGAGCCCTAACTTTGGTGGCATCTCAGCTAAAATCAAATACAAGATGCTAAACAGGGAAAACCCAGTGTAATTCACTTCTAAAACTGTAACGAAGAATTTAATACTGTAAAAGTGTTTCCCTATTACAGACATGACAGATGATTTCCAAGGATTTGTTCTTGATAGCTATTTTAAATCACGCCTGATTCACTTAAAATGAATAAAAACTATATATACTGAAATATTCCTAAATTCAAACTGTAAATCTACAGAATATATTTTTTCCTATTAAAAAACTGTGCAATATCTTTACTGATACTAACATATACAAACCTGAGTAGTCACTTCCACAAAATGTGATTTGTGTCAGAAAGCTCTGTCTGAGGCTTTCTAGATCATAGTCCTGGGCAGGTCCACCAGAAGAGGACAATTCATTTAATCTTCTTCAGAGTGAAATACTCTAATGATCCCAATGCCTGATATTGATTTACAATTATCTGGTAGGGCTGGTGGCAAAATCAGGACTAACAGGATTTGAAGGGGCACCGCTTTCTCAAATCCAGGACTGGGGCCATCAGAGTGGGAGAGCAGCCTGTCTACTGGGTTAAAGCCTCTGCTAAGCCATGTGACAGCACTCTGCCTCTGAACTGAGAAGCTAATGGTTAAGGGGACAGGAATAACTGTACACTCTTAGGCTGATTAGAAGGCCTTCAGCTCTTAAGGACAGTCAGTCACTAAAGAAAAACAGTGACATATTACAAGATAAACCCTTATTTCCAGCTCCCAAAATGTATTCAGTGTGACATGATTGTAAACAGTTAAGGATCACTCCAGTGCTGTGTGCCCACCACAGTTGGGATGCCCAATTCTTCCAAATCCCCACCCACCCTTCCCACCTTATGTACAATACATTCACCACCAACAACAAAAATTATTTTAAAAGGCAACAGGAAACTTCTGTAAACTGGACCCAGCTCCAAACACATTAATACTACAAGTAGTAAATTATCTCTCCCTTCCCCAAATATATACCTGAGTTTAGCTGCTCATGAAAGTTTAAAAACACCACTCCATTCTTAAGTATACCCCCCTTCCCCAAATCTAAACTTATTTTCCCTGAATGAGAGTCTCAGGTCTTGGAAAAGTCACCACAAATTCCAGGTTCACTTGCTCTTCTTGACTATCTGTATCAAATATGCAAGAGATCCCTGACCCAGGATCACTGCAGGCTGTGTATTAACCATCTAAGGAGTGTACTTCTAGGGCCTTGTGAATGCTCCAATTCTGGGAAGGCAAGAAGTGATGCACTATGAGGGTGGGGGTAGGAATAGATATGGATGAGGATTATTTCCCCAAATTCTTCACGTTCCAGTCTTCATGTGCAGCTTCCATTTCCTTAGGGGATATTTCCTCCTTGGACTAGCTCTGAAAGAAAATAAAATAAAACACAAGTGTTAAAAATACTTAATAAACCAAAAAGGGAAAAGGTGTACATGCTCCTGAATACCTGGGAAAAGACCTTTTTGTTGTTTGAAAATTTTATCATGGTATAAAATATAATTTAAAATCTGCCATTTTAAACATTTTTAAATGTATAAACCAGTGACATTAATTACACTCACAATGTGGTATAACTATCACTCCTATCTAGTTCAAAATCATTTGCATCACATCAAAAGGAAATCCCCTGTACCCACTAAGTGACCATTTTTCATTCCCCCTTCCCTGGCAACCACTAATCTGCTTTCTCTCTCTATGATTTTACCTATTCTGGGTATTTTATATACACATATCATATAAAATGTGACCTTTGTGTGTAATTTCCTTCACCTAGCATAATGTCTTCCAGGTTCATCCACATTAGTGTTAGTTCTTTATTCCTTTTTCTGGTTGAGTAATGTCCCTTGTACTCTTGTACTACATTCTGTTTATTCATTCATCTGTTGATGGCTATTTGGGGTGCTGCTAATAATGCTCTAATGAACACAGGTGTACTCTATCTGTTTGAGATCCTGCTTTCAACTCCTTTGGGCATAGACCTAGGAGTGGAATTGCTAAATTATATGGAAGCTCAGTGTTTAACTTGCTTCACCATCTTATATTCCCATCAGCGATAGAAAATATACTAAATTTTTCACATCCTTGCCAACACTTATTTTCCTTTTTTAAAAGAATAGCCATCTTAGTGAGTGTGAAGGAGCCCTGGTGGCATGTGACTGCTAACCAGAAGCCTGGCGGTTCAAACCCACCAGCCACTTCTCAGAAGGAAGGTTGGGTAATCTACTTCCGTAGTGATACCGCCTCGGAAACCCAAGGAAGGGTTCACTATGAGTCGGATCCGACTCAATGGCAGTGAGTTTGGTTTTGATTTGGTTTGAGTGGGTGTGAAGTGGTTATCTTATTGTGGTTTCGAGTTGTATTTCCCTGAAGCATAATGATACTGAGCATCTTTTCAGGGCTTTAGTCTTGTCAGTCATGATTTACTTTGAAAGGGTGGGCTCTAAAATCTTTGACCTCATTCAACCCCAGCTGCAAGCACTCAGACACTGTAAAACTTCTCGCATATTAGGGAATAATGATAATGATGATCGGAATTACATCGTGTGGGTTGAGAAGATTAGCACAGTGTCTGCTGGCATAGAAGCAGCACTCAAAATGTAGCTACTATTCTTCTAAAACCTAACTGACTAGTCTCTCTCAAATGACTAGATGGAAAGGATAAAATGGACAAAGAATTATATCAAAAGTAATGTCAGTAGACTATGTGGGGATAAAATGGGGCAACAGGAAACTTCTGTAAACTGGACCCAGCTACAAACACATTTATACTATGTGTAGTAAATTATCTCTCCCTTCCCTAAATATATACCTGAGTTTAGCTGCTCATGAAAGTTTAAAAACACCATTCCATTCTTAAGTACACCCCCCTTCCACAAGTCCCCAGCTCCCTAAACTTGATTTCCGTATGAGAACAGAACATGTGGGAACAAGAAGGAAGCTACATCCAAAGCCCTCTTCTTCTTCTTCTTCTTTTTTTTATTGTCAAGCCACCTGGACCCCTTTTTAATTTGATTTCTGGAAAAGTTTCTGTACCAACAGGGCATTTAGAAGATTTTTTGCAGAACAGCAATGAGGTCCTGTTTTATTTCCGACCACCCAGAGGAATAAGGAAAGCTCTAATGAATTCCTATAATGCTTACCTGATCCAGAGGAAGTGTTGGGGGCTTATGTGGGGGCAGCTCTTCCTGCGATGCTGCTGGTGCTGGGGTCTTTGGGAAAGAGGACTGTGAGTGGACAGGATGAATATGCATTCTGTAAGCAGAGAGGAAAAGTTAACAATTAAGGAAGGTATATTAATGATAAGAACAAAACTTTAGGTTTATTAATTAAGGTACTGCCTTAATTACCAGGTGATTAATAATGGGATGAGCTGATAGCACGTGTTCCTGGTATGGTGCAATGAAAAACACATGATATCACCTATGTAGTATTCCTGATAAAAGTGCTCAATTTGATTGTAAACATGAGGAACAATGAGACAAATCCAGAACCTGGGACATCTTACATGAAAACTGGCATGGATACTTTGAAAAACAAAGCAAAATAAAACAAAAAAATGAAAGGACGACTGATGTAAATTAAGACAGCCATAACAACCAAATGTAAAATTGTGATCCTTGCTTGGACCTTGGGTCCTGGCAGGGGATGGGGGGACAGAGAAAGAAGAGAAAGAAACACAGTAACAAAAGACCTTCATGGAAAATTTAAATATAGATTCCATATTAGATACTATTAATGTTATTTTCCTAGGGTATAATAATGGTTTTAAGATTATACAGATGTGTGTCCTAAAGAATCTGCAGATGAAGTGATGATATCTGAAACTTTTCAAAGGGTTAAAAAAAAGGAAAAGAAAAGAAATAAAAAAATAAACATTTAGATAGATATAAAGGAACTTTGGTAGTATAGTGCCTAAGGCACTTGACTGCTAACCAGAAGGCTGGAGGTTCAAAACCCACCAGCCACTCCTCGGGAGGAAGGCTGGGCAATCCTACTTCTGTAGTGATACTGCCTCAGAAACCCAAGGAAGGGTCGCTATGAGTCGGGGCTGATTGAACGGCACATAACAACAAGATAGATAAAAAGCTAATATGGCAAAATGTTAATAAACAGGATGTTGGGAAGGGTGTGGGAGGTGACACAGTGGGCAGTGGTACAGGGGCAGACTCTTACCATGGTCAAAGTGTCTAAATTGTGCCTGTGCCAACAGTTCTCAAATTGTAGTTAACAAGTTTCCAATATAAAAATCTAAATAAAGTCATTTAAATGCCAATTCCTTTTAATGAGTTAAAAAACATAACAAAGATAAAACTCAGCTTTAAGCAAGACTCATTTCCACCAAGTCTCCAAGATCAATGATTTTCATGCTTTCAGCCCACTTTAGTTTATCTTCATTCCTAGGGCCATTTTTCTTTTCAGAATTCACAATCTTTCTTTTTTTCAAAAACAAATAAAAAACCCACTGTAGTGCAAACTTACCCTGATGGTCTGTACATTTCCTGGAAAGGTCCCCTTATCCCACTTCCAGTGCCAATTTGTTCCATCATTACTGCTTGAAAGTGACCCATGCCTTCTTCCTGGCAGCGGTAGATAGGGCCCTCCTGAGGGAGGCCATTAGGCTGGGCAGCCACTGGATGGTGAGGTGGGTGAGCAGCCACAGGGGAAGAATAAGCTCTGGGCTGGAAGTGACTGGCTGGCCGCTGAGGTGTATAAGGAGGCCCTGTTTGTAGCATCACACCATGGGGTGGGAAAGCAGATGAACCAAAACCCATCCCTGAATTCAGAGGTGGAGGAGGAGGAGTTCCATATAGGTAGTCATTGGCTGACAGTGAACTTTGTCGCTTGGTAGCTGCATTATGGTTGTCCAGGTCTAGAAACTCTTTGGGACTCTCTGGCCTCTCCATAGATTCATCCAGCTTCTCTTCCTCTGGACCAGGATTCTGCCCATCAGTTGGGACAACCTTACTAGCTACTGCATCCATCCGGTTTGGGGAAGTTAAGGCAGCATGAAGTGTCTCACAGCCTTGTAGGCTGGCCATGGCATTCTTATCTGAGAAGAGGGGCCTGGGTGGGGGAGGCTGAGTAAATGGAGTTCCACTTGGGCTTCCTTGGGGATGGAGAGGTCTCTGCCAGTCAGAAAAGCCCTGTGGACATGCGTAATAAGGAGTTCGCTGATAGAGATGGTAGGAAGGCTGAGGTGGTGGCTGGTAGGAATACCTCATTCCTTGATGAGGGCGGTATCGGGGAAAGATGCCAGAATGAGGGTTGTTAGACTGAAAGCCCCTAGGGGGGAAATGCTGAGGATGTGATACTGTGGATTTCCCTCCCATTACAGGGCCCAAACCTTGTAGGCCTGGACTGATGTGGTAATGTGCAGCTGAATTTGGATATTCCAGGCTTGGCATATACAGTGGAGAAAACTGGCTTACAGGGCCTCCCATTAAACAGGGATCTGGATTGGGAGGTGTAGTTGCATTCTGTCCTGTACATGGCATGGTTTCCTGCAATGTTTTGCCTCTAGGGCAGAGAGGCTTTTCTGAACCACTACCACCAAGACTCTTCCCCTCTGATCCACAAGGAGATGCATCACCAATCACTCCATTTTCAGGTACAGCCCCTCTCTCTGCCACAGTAGAGAGGTCGCTCATACATCCTTGGGCGACTGGGCTGCTGTAGCTGCTATCTGAAGGCCAGGTGTTCTTGGCCTTGGTTGCTCTGCAGTTTTCTCCAGATTCTGAAGAGTCGCTTTTGAGTTCTGGGCCCTCTGTTTCCCTTTCTTGGGGTGAGCTCTGTCTGGTACAGTCAGTCTGCAGGGGAGGTATAGGGTGAGGTAGTTGTTTGAGGTACACCCCCTCTGAAGCACCAATGCTTGACGGTTTGTCCTCAAGCCCAGGCAAGGGCTCTGCTGCAGGAAAAGTGAAAAACAAAATAAAATGGTAGCTGAAATGACAATACTGATGGAAGTGTAATGAAAGGAAGATGATAAGCAGCCAGATGAGGAAAGGCAAGGTTGAGGTGGATATAAGTCCCTGAAAGGGGTCCACTCTTCCCTATGGAAAGGTAGATCTCTGATTGCTGCCCCATCAGAATATATAACCTCTATAGAAGAAGAGCTATTCTCCATGCTACTCTCAGTACTTGTACATAATGGGAACTCAATCACTATCTTTTAAATGAATGTGTTTATCTTGTCTGGATGTCTTAAAAGCAAATGTCTAAAGCATGAAACTCAAACAGAAAATTCAACCAAATTAATAAACTAGACTCAAATTCTTAATCTCAACCTCAGAATTCCTTATCTCCCTATACTAAATCAAAAGATGAATATGGTCTTCTTAAACCTTTTTGGGAAGGAACAGAACTTTTCCTAGGTGTATGTTCAGAATATGTCATGTAGAGATTATGGAATCATATTTAGGACAAGAGTAAGGATTCATAATGATCTTTAAAGATCTAGTAGGATCTCAGGCTACCTGTGAATCTGGCATTAAAATTAAAGGTATGAGCTATGCAATGAAAATTAAAACCCGCACTTTTCATTATTTGGTCAACATAAAATATGGCAACTAACAGATTTATCTACAGTTTCTTCTAAGGCTTTGCAATCCAGACATTATCTGAAACCATTACTAGAAAATTCTAATAGAGCTGGGATTCACAAAGTAGTTCTTTCCCTGAAAGAAATACAGGAAGCAAGTCTGAGTTCTAGGCCTACCATCAATTTCATGTGGAATCTTTGTATTTTATAGAAGTTCAAATATCTTCATTTTCCATCCATGTACTAAAAATTTATATGCAATATACGCTAGACATCTATCTTAGAAAATAAGCTTTAATTACACAAAGTATTCTATTCATCTCTCTCTTCCAGATTAAAGTTTACTCTTAAATCGTATTTTCACTTCAAGATTTTCTAGATCTCAGTATTTTTCATTTGTACTAAAGGCATAGTGCCTAAGGCACTTGACTGCTAACCAGAAGGCTGGCAGTTCAAACCCACCAGCTACTCCTCAGAAGGAAGATGGGGCAATCTACTTCCATAGTGATACTGCCTCGGAAACCCAAGGAGGTATCACTATGGAAGTAGATTGCCGAACCCTCCTTCCGAGGAGTGGCTGGTGCGTTTGAACCACCAGCCTTCTGGTTAGCAGTCAAATGCCTTAGGCACTAGGCACCGAGCTCCCAAGGCATAGAAGGATAGGAAAATTAGGCTTTAAGTAAAATTCTTAAACTGATTTCATATTTTTCAAGGCAGTAATTTTTTTTAAAGGCAGTATGATAATTCATTGGTTGAGAGCAAGGACCTTGGAGCTAGCCTGTTAGATTCAAATCTCAGCTGTACTACTTAAAACCAAAACCAAACTCACTGCCATCAAGTCAATTCCAACCCACAGCAACCCCCAATGGGTTTCTGAGGCTATAAATCTTTACAGAAGTAGACTGTTCCATCTTTCTTCCACAGAGCAGCTGGTTGGTTTGAACTACTGACTTTCCAGTTAGCAGCCAAATGCCTTATCCACTACACCACGAGAGTTGCTTTTACCACTTACTAGGCTGGTGAAATATCCAATATCTCTGTGCTACAATTTTTCTAACTGTAAAAAGAAAGATAATACTAATAACAGCTATCTCCAATATTTATTCGGAGGATTATTTAATACATGTAAAACTACCCCCACCCCCCAAAAAAGGTGCCTGGCCCAGAAGTTACATCTGTATAGTGGTCATTATTACCAGAAAACCTTTTGGATCATTGGACTGAAAACAATACTATGGTTGGTCCAACCATGAGAAATTCAATAGAAGGAGGCTGACACTAGTTTTCATTTGGTTTGATAATCTGTGTGACAGGATTATTCATGCATTAACAGTTTAAAGAGCTGAAAGTCAGAGAAATGTGACAATATAGATTACCTCGGTCATTCTCAGGCTCTTTTGTTTCACTGTTATCCTGTGTCCTCCCAGGGTTCCCCAAGGCAGGCTTTGGGGCTGATACACTTACTGATGCTGAGTGAGCTACCTGTGGAAAAGGGCCAGGTAAATGGGGAGGAGTGGGCTGTCGGGGGTGGTAAGGCACACCTGGTGGGCAAACACGGGAGGAAAGCTGTTGCATGGCAATCATCTCGGGGCTGTCCATCATAGAGTCCCCTCCTTGGACCCCCCGCAGAGCCTGGGAGGGTGCTCCATACAGAGAACTATGCACTGTGGCTGGAGGCTGTAATCGATGTCCAGTAGATTTACAGGGTGGTCGCATATACCCTGAAGAAGGAACTCCATGAGGTAGAAAGTTTGATTGTTCAGTCCACTGGTTTGGAGGAAGAGGTGGTCTCATCACTCGGGACTCCATCATATGACCAAGAGTACGAGGCTGGTGAGAGGGTCCTGGACCTAGCGGGGGCTTCTCATCTGGCCCCAAGGGTCCTGGGTTTGTAGCACCATGGTTTCCATTCCAGATAGCAGAGTGTACTCGATTCAGGTACTTGTATGATCGGTACATGTGGCTGGGAGGAATTTCAGAGCTTTCAGGGAAGTCTGGGTGTCGGGTTAGAGCCCCACCAGGCCTAGGAGGAATAAATCCAGGCTGGAATTGAGCTGGGGGATACATATTTCCCTCCTGACTGGGGCCACCCATCTGCCCAAGCTGCAAGGATCCAGGATGTGATCCCATGTTAGAAAGGTGTGTCAGCCCCCCACACACTTGCTTCTCTTCAGGTGCTCCAAGCCTGGGTCCTCGGTGGTTGTTAATTCCAACTGGAGGCTGTAAGAAGAAAAAGAGAAGAAAGCAGATTTCACCAGACTCATAGATTAAGGTAGGTCTTCTCATGAGCTCTATCCACAGGGAGAGACACATCAGGATAGGCTATAAGGAAATAAATTTAACATGGGAAGAGGCTTTATTTTAAAACATACTTCTAAAACCCTCCAAACCTGCGTTTTCTGCTTTCATTTGCTTACCTGCATAGGAAAGGGTTGATGCTGTTGAACAGCCTCTCCAGGGTGTGGTTCTGGGACCCTAGAGGAGCCATATAAGTTGGCAGGATCTGATCCCTGAAGAGGGCCAAATGCTCCTGGTACTGCTGGCCTCTGGAGGCCATTGGAGAAAGCAAGAAGGAAACAGAGAGAGAAAGCACAGACATTAGGTAGTGACTGGGACTTAACTAAAGATGAACCTTCTGCTAAAATAACAATAACACAGACCACTGACAGCTTGGCATATAGTACCAAGAAAAGTAAGACTGAAAGTACATGGTCTTGTCTAGACCAGGACTAGACCCTGAGATCAAAGCAATTTTCCTCTCTAGGAGATACAAGGTTAAGTTGGTGTTTCTCAATTTCTTCTTAATATTGCACCATAAAGAATCCTGCTGGCATAGTGCTTAAAGCAGTTAGATGCAAACTGAAAGTTTGGTGGTTTGAATTCATTAGCTGCTCTGCTTTTTAAAAGATTTATAACCTTGGAAACTTATGAGGCAGTTCTACTCTGTCCTATAGGGTTGATATGAGTCAGAATAGACTTGATGTCAGTGGGTCTGTTTTTTGTTTGGGTTACAGACTTTATGGAGTTTCTGAGTGGTCCAAACTGTTCATGTGTTTGGCTGCTAACCAAAAAGTTTAAGTACACCCAGAGGTACCAAGAAAGAAAGGTCTGGTGATCTACTTACAAAAAAGCAGCCATTGAAACCCCTACAGAGCACAGGTACATCTGAAACACATGGGGTTGCCATGAGTCAGATAACTGAATTGATGGAACTAGTTTAGTTATGGTTTATAAAGAGCATTCTTACCCATTTTTCCCCCCTAATCACATCTGCATCATGAAATTTTAACACCATAGACAGACTGTATGCTTGTTTATGTATTATGCATGTACCTGAGCTTTACATATAAAAAGGTTATCATTTTATTCTTTATTCACTCCTACAATAACAATTTTTGTCCATGTTGAGATGCATGGATCAAAGAATTAAGAGAAAGGAGATTTAAACTAAAAGGTAGAATAAAAAGGGCAGATGGGGCAGACAAAACATACATAAACAAAAAAATTACTTTGGAAAAGAAGCTAATGAAGTAGCTTTTACATCTCTATGACTTCATCAACTAGAGGAAACCACAACAGCATTTAGGCTATTCCTTACCATCTGTTTTAAGAGAGGAGCCTGGCTGGGCATCCCACCATAATGCAGGGAACGAGAAAAGCCTTGGCCATTGGAAGCACCCAGTTCCCGGGGGGGCTGGGTTGAATTGCTGCTCTGATCGTCCCCAGAAGAGGAAGCACGACGGCGTGCAGGGGGCAGTGACTTCCCTCCATTCTCCACAGGTTGCTGTTTCTTGCCAGGCCCGTCAGGTTCTCTGGAGCGGGTCCAAACATGGCTTGCACCACTTCGCCCAGCGCGATTCCGTCTCTTCTCCCGCTTTTCATCCTCTCTAATCCAAAATTCTTCATCTGTGTCTCCATCTTCACCAGGAAAATGCTTCATCATTGCCCGATGGAAACACCTCTCTAAATTGTCAGACATCTTGGTATACTCTATAGTCATAGGAAGATACAAGGAAAGGCCTCAATGTACAATTTTTATAGGCCACAAGACAATTCTGTTACTAATAACTGAGAAAAGATATTATTGGGGTAATCCTTAGATTTAATTCAACTTGAGCGCATATTATAGTCTAGGGATATGGATACTTGACATGGTTTCTGGCCATAAGAAGCTCAAGGTGGTGTGGTATGCCTATGACTGTGACAATGACTCTAGGACTATTATCCCAAATCACAGTAAAAATTTAATCATTTAAGGTGTCACCAACTTTCCATAAAAGGGATATAGTTTTTCAGCCTAAATCTCTAGATGGTCTCTTCTTAAGCATTTCCTATGGTAGTCCTTATAATTAAGCTTAAGGTAGAACCCGGTATAGAGGGAAGATACAAAGAGCTAAATTTCAGAAATACTGATACAGTCAATGGATCTACTGAGTTTTCAAACTGAGGTATTTTGAGTGAAAAACTCAAACAGCCCCCAAGTATAAGAAAATTGTAAATAAACTTGTCTAAAATTATTGTTCACTTTTCAAACATCTCAAAATAACTGTATTGGTACAGGGGTGGATGCATAACAGATAATTATGATGGTGGAGAACATCCCCACAAGTAGAGAGGTATAACATAAGGATTCAAAGTGTCACAGAATGCATAACTGAATCAACGTTTCTGTACCTGGGAGCCATAATTACTTTATCAGAGTTCTATTCTGATGATTTCTTAATAAGATTTGAGAGTCAGCTCCATGTAGGTTCAGTCTGTTGTTGTTGTTATGTGCCATCGAGTGGGACCCAACTTATAGCGACCTCTCCTTGGGTTTCCAAAGAGCTATCACTACGGAAGCAGATTGCCCAACCTTCCTTCTGAGGAGTGGCTCGTGGGTTTGAACCGCCGGACTTTTTGTTAGCAGTCAAGAGACTTAGGCACTATGCTACCAGAGCTCCTAGGTTCAGTCTAATCTGCGAGTAATTGTCTAAGTTAAGCAGACAGAACAATCTGTACAATCTAGGTCCATACTGGTCTCTAGGATGATGAGCAATAACCTCAGCCCAGTTAAATATTAGCTGCCCCCTCTTCTAGTGTGGGACAGAAGAGAATTCCTGGCACATATAATGTGAGTGGTGGGAAAGGCTGATCCCATGGCTCTTACATGCATTCTCTTTATAGTCCTGGAGAAAGGTTCAAATCATTACGATATATATTTCTAAATGGGAAAGCATTTTATACTTGATTATAATGGCACAGCAAATGTTCATCCAGAGCAAACATCCTCCCCACTTACCACTACTTTCACCATTGTATTTTCGACAATTTCTGAACATAGTCTTCATATCATTTACAAATTCCTCCTTGGTACAGTATAAACCTCCATTTAGTTTCTTCTCCATACTTGAAATATCCATGGGGACCTAGAAAAGTACACAAAAAATGTTTAATTACAATATACAGGAGAAAAACAAAACCAAACCAAAAATCCCTTAGTCCCTATGAGGTTGAGGAATCATGCTGTTGTAAGTCACCCAAGAGCCTAATATATATCCAGCATGATTTTCAAGGAACAACAGTTAAACAAAGCAAATGAAATAACAATAACAAAACCCAAGACAGACACACAAGGTACAATAGGTGTAATTAAAAAGATAGCTTTTACCTTAATAATCTGGTAATAATTAGGGGCATAAGATTCATCCACAGGTTCCAAAAAGGGCCAGGAATCTTTGTGAGCCTTTACCACATCTAGAACTGAAAGTCAACGAGTAGAGCTTACTTCACACATTCACACAGGAATACTTCTGTCATAAACATAACAGTTGATAATAGGAACTGACCTTTATACATGGCAGTGAAATCATCGTCCAACTCAAAGCTGTAAATCATAAAATAAGAAATTAACAGCAACTCTGATCACCTTCTTAACTCTGAGTTCAATCATAGTCATACAGATGACTGAACCAAGATTTGAAATATTTCTAATAATTTTACTTTGATACTCTGTAACATTGATACTACTCCCTAAAAAAAGGAAGATGATGGATTACATATCTTAGCCAAAAGGGACTAATTTTCCTCATCTCTAAAATGACAGGGTTGCTCTAGATGATCCAGAATTCAATCTATGATTCTCTAATGTTATTTAACAGCATATTCCTTCCCAGGTTTTATTTCATGCCAATGATTATTTTTGTGAGATAAAGAATAATAATCCTATCTATCTATCTATGGAGGAGTTCTGGTGGCGTAGTGCCTAAGGCATCTGATTGCTAACCAGAAGGGTGGCAGTTCAGACCCACCAGCCACTCCTCAGAAGGAAGGTTGGGAAATCTACTTCCACAGAGATACTGCCTTGGAAACCCAAGGAGGGGTCGCTATGAGTCAGATCTACCTCAAATGACAGTGAGTTTGGTTTTGGTATCTCTCTATAAAAATACAATTTTTATGTATCACCAGCACTTAACCAAAATTCATTTGTAGTGTAAAAATTATGTAGAATTGAGAAGCTCATGAGCACTGAATATTTACTTGCTTGCTTGCTTCCTGAATTTTTAATTAAGAGCAAAAAAGAGATAAAGCACCCAGTTACTTCACAGAAAACAATTTAAAAATGCCAAAAGATTTATAGAAATTAGAATAAACTGCTCTTCACACTTCCAAGAAGCAGTTTTACATTATAATATTGGTTCTGATTTCAACAGCTTTGTGGAAAAGATTACTGTGTTCCTATTGGGTCCAACTCCACAGCACATAACAACAACAACAAATAGGGTGAGAGCAAGATTATGAGAGAGGAGAGAAGGGGACACAGTGTGTCTCTATGTGCATACCTAAAATCATCAGTGTCAGCTGTAGGTTTATCTCCAATCTGTCACTTACTATGTTTTCCACACTTTAGAATGGTGAAACCATTGCCTAGTTAGGGTTATTAAGGATTCAATGAGAAAGGAAAGTGTGTGGTACAATGCCTGAGTGTGAACAAATGTTACCAACTGTTGTTGTAGTTATGAAATACTCACAGGTCCTTGGTCTTTTTCTCTTCCCTCATGGGGGAATTAGGGTCCAGATGTGAAAGCTCCGGGGGGAGCTCTTTCCCTTGAGCCAACAGCCATGCCCGTTCTTCCCTGAGCTTCCTCCTCTTAGCTCGATCTACAATGAACACAAAACATTATGGTACAAGGGTTGAATATCCTATGGTGAGTATTTTGTTTATTGTTTTGAAAGAATGAAGAAACACAGATCACAAAAGTAGTGGCATGAAATTATATTTGTTACTTTCATTTTAGTAGTAAGGATGTTTCTGTAGGTGGAGTACTTTACAAAAAATATAAACTAGTGGGACCCATTCACCTTATTCACACTGTTCTCAAAATAAGGTGCTGGGTGGTGGTAGGGAAGAGAGCAAAGTAGAAGCAAGCAAACAAAAAGAATTAGAAGGAAAAAGAAAAGTTAGAAGGTTGAATGTGCATTATCTTTCTCTATCAGAAGCATTTTCCTACCATTCTATAAAAAAAAAACTACACTGCTTTTGTAGGACCAGACTCTCAATCCAGACATACACAGGATGTTATACGCACACTTAAGCATTCAAGGTTTTGCGTTTACAGTGGCAACCATTCATACCAATTGTCTTGGCTCCCCATCCCTACCACTGGCAGCATGGTCCTATTAAACCAGTAGAAGTAGAAAGTTTGGCTGAGAACTAGGAAAAGATGCCAGTTGAAATTGGTAAGGAGCTAGGAGAGAGAGGCAAATTTTTTTCTGGCTCACAGAGATGACCATGTGAAGTACACTTGGCATTCACTTCTAGTCTGATAGGGTACTACTGTCAGCAGGTAACAAGGTCAGAAGTAAAGGAAAGAGGTGAGGAGATGAAGAGGAGCAACAATGTCAGGCAGCAAAAAAATGGTGGAAGAAAGAGAAGCCAAGACAGACTGTCTGTTTTCTCCCCCAATTCTAATTTCTGTTCTACAAGGGAGACGTTTCCTACTTGATCACTCCTATCAATGCTGCCTACAAACAATTTTCCCTGACAAGTTCCATCTGAATTACTTTCATTTATAAACTCAGAGTAATTTGTATCTGCTAACGAATCAAAGGCATATTGATATTACCTTTTATTATTTTTTTTTAACAAAATTATTTGAAGTTTAAAGAAAATTATAACTAAAGGAATGATTACTAATGCACCTATCTAATGGTCAAATCTTAACATTTTACTTGAATACAGTAATTCATTACATGATTATGACACAGGCTAATAATCCATTTTCTAGTTGATTTCAATTTATGAATTTTGCAAATAATACAGTAATGGATTATTCATTTAACACATCATCTCCTGCTTAGGTATGAGAGATTTCTAGGATATAAAGCTATCAGTTGAATTTCCAAATAGCAGGCAATGTATATATCTACTTTATCAGGCATTGTCAAACTGCTGTCCAAACAAGTTTTATCAATGATTGTTCCAATAACCACTTGAAATATTTCAGACTCTGTATGATAAAAATATCAATATTTTCATCCAGCTAATGAGTATGACATGGAATTTTGTTGGATTCATTTGCATTTTTAGAACCGGAGTAACACTGAACATCTTTTTGTGTTTACTGGCCATTTTCTTTTCCTGTTAATTTCTTGCTCATATACTTGTCTTTTTTTCTATAGATGGATAGATTTCTTTAAGATTTAGGAAAGTGTTTTTTGTAAGATGAATACACCCACTCCTGACTTATGAAATGATTAGGTTTCAAAGACCAGGTTGTTATTTGAAAATTGCCATTATAAGAAAAGGATGACCACATCAGATCACAAAACGGCACATAACCACATCATTATATAACTGATAGTTACATAATTAGATAGTAGTTAATTATATCATTACTTAGCTCCCAAATCATATCATTACATAATAAAATAGTTGTCAAACTGTATTATTAAATAACTGCCAATGTCACTCTCACCTTGGCATTTGTTACTTCCGGATGTATGTGTTAAAGTACAAAATAGTCTGAGTTTTGTCATTGTCATATGTATGAAATGCTGGGTAATAGCATAGTTGATAAGTGAGGAGCTTGTTTTTTGGTTACGTGTTAATCTTCCTCCATTCTTGTGTGTCTTTTAACTTTGTTAAGATGTTTTCATCATATGTGAGGTTCCAAAAAATATAGTCAAAAATATTGATCTTTCTCCTTACGGCCTAAAAAAGTTCCAGATAAAGACCAAATTGGTTAGAAAAAATAGGTGGCTATTTTTAAGGTACTGTGGAAGGGAAGAATTTATTATGAGAAGGGATATTAATCCCCCGCCCCAATCAATAAGTAATCATCTTGATACCACTTACTGAAAAAACATGTTATCATCAGCTTTTTTTACCTAGTGCTTTTAGCAGCCACTGGTGATTAACCAGGAGCTCTGGTGGCATAGTGCCTAACACATTTGACTGCTAACCAGTAGGCTGGCGGTTCAAACCCACCAGTCACTGCTCAAAAGGATTAGGCAATCTACTTCTGTAGTAATACTGCCTCAGAAACCCAAGGAGGGGTTGCTATGAGTTCGATCCAACTTGATGGCAGTAAGTCTGGCTTTTTTTTTTTTTTTTTGGTGATTAACCAAGGTTCCAAGAGGAATTATGATGCAAAGAAAAATATATTGGGTGACTATTCTCTTAATATTTCTAAGGATGATATATACATAGTACCTGTAAAGATGAGTAAGGAAGAAATTAATTCACTGTATACAATGCATCTTATTCATTGTCCAGCTCTCACATGCATACGAGGCGATTGGAAATATCATGGCTTGTGTCAGGCACACCTTAGTCCTCAAGGAGATAT